GGAACCTCCTGACCCTTCGGTCCGTGGAAATCAGTGCGGCTTGTTCAGCGCGCTCGGCCGGCTCGCGTTGCTTTGGAGCAGAGGCTGGCGAGGAGGTCGGGGCATTAGAGGGCTCCGTGGTTTTTTTGGACTTGAAAGAGGGGAAAAAACCCACCTCCTTCAAGACATTCTGTGGTGGCTCCGCATCTCGGCCACGGGGCTGGGACCTGTTGGTGTCACTGGGGCCTGTCGGTGTCACTGAGACCTGTCAGTGTCGCTGTAGCAGCCGGAGGTTATTCGCAAGGTCTGAGGGTGGTTTTTCGTAGAATCCTAGAGTGACATCTAGGGAAGGGACCTTAGAGATCATCTCGTCCAACCTCCCTCCCGACGCCTCTCAACTAGACCAGGTTGCTCCAAGCTTCATCCAACCTGGCCTTGAACACCTCCACAGCTTCTCTGGGCAATTTATTCCAGAATCTTGCCACCCTCAAACTGAAGAATTTTTTTCTAAATCTATTCTCCTTTAACTTAAATCCATTTCCCCTTCTCCTATCGCTGGACACTTTGGAAAAGTCCCTCCTCAGCCTTCCTGTAGGTCCCCTTCAGGTATTGTCAGGCGGTTCTAAGGTGCCCTCGGAGGCTTTTCCAGACTGAAGTCTTGAAAAAGGCTTTTTAACAAAACCACTGAACCCCAGCAGGGCTGCGGCAGCCGGCCAGAAAAAGAGGAGAGACTCCCTGCCCGCCTGCCGTGCTCTGACTGATCTCAGCCGGGTTTCAGCGGGGCCTCCCTGTGGTTTTTGGCTCTCCGAGGTGTTTCGTTTCGGGCCCCGAGGGAAGCGCCTGGCGTGTTGGCGAGGCTCTTCCTCCGAGTGGGAAGCGAGGAGCTGTGCCCTGTCCCGCCTTCCCCGTGTGCTGCATCGGGTCGGAAAGTTTTCCTGCCTCCACATCGCTTCTGCCGCTTCCCAGCCAGCGCTGGGCACACACACAGGAATTTTTGACTGGCTGGAAGATAAGGAGAATTAAAGAAAACCACAACACCCCAACATTTTGGGGGATGATGAGTTAGATAAACATCCCAGAGTGCACATCCCTGAACCGGCAAAGAAATGAACATGGGGAGCTCGGTATCAGCGGCCGTGACTTGAGGTTTTTAACTTGGATTAACTATTTATTAGCTTGTAGTTAATAGCAGCAGCTGCTGTACAGCTCTGTGGACACTTTCTGCCGCTCAGGGCTGACGGAAGGGCAGGTCAGCACGGCCAGGAGAGGGGAGAGGACAGGTCGAGGGGGGACTCGAGGGACTCAGTAGGGGACGTAGGGTGCTGCTTCTGGGAGCAGCGAGGTCAAGACAGGACGTGCCACCAACGGGGGAAAAATGCAGGTGGAATCGGGCAGAGTCTCTATGGAATTGGTGAAATAAGGTGCTGGGGAGACAGAAAAAGCCAAAGGTGCCTGTCAACAAAGCAGCCCCTGCTGGAGCTTTCGGTTTAGCAAGACCATCCTGGCCTGTCTCTTTGCATGTTACCTCCCTTCTACGTGCCCGTTCTCTCCGGAGCGGCGTTCCTGCGCCGTGCTTCGCCTCCGCGTACGCGGCATCTTCGCCGAGAGGCGAAAGCAAACCTGGTCTTGACCCGAACGTGTGGCTCTCGCTCCTCTTTTAGCAGCGTCGCCCGTAAGCTGAAAAGCTGGCCAGCACAATGGGAAAAAAACAGAAGAAGAAAGTGGAAGAGGTCTTAGAGGAAGAGGAGGAGGAATATGTGGTGGAGAAGGTCCTGGATCGGCGGGTGGTGAAGGGCAAAGTGGAATACCTGCTGAAGTGGAAAGGCTTCTCGGAGTAAGTGTCTCCCTCTGTTGCTGCGGGGTGGGTGCTGGGCCGCTCCGACGTGAGAATCTCTTGTGCCTTTGGCTCCCAAAGCCATCAGGCAGGTGACTGAGTCTCCCTGTGCTTCTGCTTCTCTGCAAAATTGAGCTTACAAGCCAAAAGGCGGCCCTAACGATAAAACCAGCGGCGCTAAATGCCTCGAGCTCTAATGAGGGTGTCACGAGCACAGCCTGGGTGAGAAAGTCCCGTTTGGGCTTTGCAAAGAGGCTGCACGGTGCCCCGGTGGGGCTTCTCCCTCCCCTAAATCCAGCGTGAAATAAGCAGCCAGATGAAATGAATTATATTTCTCTCCTGAGAAGGGAAATTCCTACCTTGCCCTCAGAGATCCTTGCCTGGGTCCTGTTTCTTGGGTTGAGGACACCCACATCCAGGCAGGATCTCCTCACAACCTGGGGTCCGGGGCTTTCCTCGGCCCGGAAAGCTTCGTCGAGCTGCCCGTCGGTAAAATTAAGCTGTTGTCTTTGACTGCAGTGAAGATAACACGTGGGAGCCAGAGGAAAACCTCGACTGCCCGGACCTCATCGCCGAGTTCCTCCAGTCCCAGAAAACCGCACACGAGAGCGAGAAGTCTGAGGGAAGCAAACGCAAAGCGGAGTCCGACACGGAGGATAAAGGGGAAGAGAGCAAACCAAAGAAGAAGAAGGAGGAGGTGAGGCAGGTGGGGTTTCTGTGCTCCCGTGTCTGACAGCTAGAGCAGCCACGCTCTGAGAGCTCAGTCCAAACTGTTCTCCTGCTCGGAGGGGCAGCGAGGGACGGCTGGAGCACTTTTGAAAAGCTTTTGGAAGAAGGCACGAGCTGTTGTCTCAGCCAGTCCTCTTAGTGAACGCAGAGCCAGTCCTAGTGCTGAACTGAAAGGCCAGTTCTCAAACCCAAAGGGTCCGGAGCCCCAGCTTCTCCTGAAGCACCGCAGAAGGGCTGAAACAGGAGGCAGGAGTTGCCTGTTGCCCCTTGAAGAGGGGAAACGAGGTGGAGCAGAGCCTCCCGCTCGGGGCACTCGTAGCTGCTTGGGAACGGGGCCGGTTAAAGGCTCTGCAGCCTGGTTTTCGTCTCAGGAGCTGCTGAATCTTGGCCAGCACAAGAGTTTGACCAGAAGGACTTTGGAAATGGGATTCTCCGCTTGCCACGTCAGCAGGCCTGGGGCCTGGCAGGAGGTCACCTCCCTGCCGTGGGGTTTGCACCCGAGTGGTCTTCCCAAGCTCCCCGCTGGCCTTAGGCTCTCTATCTAGTCCCAGCATCTGATACTTGGAGCTTTTCTTAACGGCCACCAGTGTGTCCCCGTGACCAGAAACAGGGCTGTGACTGTCACCCTGGTGATGCTACGAGTGGGAACTTTTGTTTTATTTTAATCCCAGTCGGAGAAACCGCGAGGCTTTGCCCGAGGATTTGAGCCGGAGCGAATCATTGGTGCCACGGATTCCAGCGGGGAGCTCATGTTCCTGATGAAGTGGTGAGTGTGTCTCTGTGCCTGTCACTTCTTCACTTATTCTGTGCCAGAGAGGGAAGGACCT